TGTGCGTGTGTGTGACAAGAAAGGGTCTTTCTATGCAATGCCACAGACAGGCCAAAACAATGAGCTGACTTTAATTTTTGAAACCTGCCCTGAAATATATTTAAAGGAGACAGTCATGGGGGAGGAAGGGGGAGGCGGGGCAATTTTTAAACCTTTCTAATTGTGCCTGATTTTTAACTGACATGATCACTATTTGTTGTGAGAGATATTATTATTCATTTATTTATTTTGAAGTACAGTTGATTTTCAATGGTTTTTTTAGAGAGTTTTTAAAAAATTATTATTATTATTATTATTTTGGCTGTGTCGCATGGCTTGTGGGATCTCAGTTCCCTGACCAGGGACTGAACCCAGGCCCTGGGCAGTGAAAGCGTGGAGTCCTAACCACTGGACATCCAGGGAATTCCCTGTTTTACATGTTGTGTTAATTTCTGCTGTACAGCAAAGTGGTTTGGTTATACATATGTACATATTCTTTTTCATATTCTTTTCCATTTGGTTTATTACAGGATATTGAATATAGTTCCCTGTGCTGTACAGTAGGACCTTGTTTTTCATCTCTTTTATATACAGTAGTTTGTAGAGAGATACTATTTATGGGTCACTCGGCCTGTGCGTGGGCTCAGAACATTCTGTGCTATGGATCATCTCATTTAATCCTCCCAACCTTGGCTAAGTAAGTCACTTCCTTCTCTGTGCCTGGGTCTGTGCAGTGGGCATAGTGCAGTTTCTGCCTCATGGGCTGACGTGGCCGCCGGGGTTATGGGAGATACTACACGGGCAATTGGCTTATACTTAGCCCCACTGTCTCTCCCAGCCCTCCCCTCACCAGTCCGGACCTTGCTGAACCTCAGAAGCCACGCTGCTCTGGGCCAGGGACAGCCACAGCCCTGTGGGGCCCAGAGCCAATCCTTTCCTCTCCCTGAGCCTCAGTCTTCTCATCTGGGAACTGGGGATAATGGTTATCCTGCCCCTGAGGGGCCGCGGTGAGGATCAGGTGAAATGCTCTATGGGAAGCACCGTGGAACTGTCACAAACTGGCCAAGACTGAGGTGTGTCTGTCATTTTCAAACTTGGGACGTATCCTGGCTCTTCCCCTAGACATGTCTGGACAGGCAGACCTACAGGAAGATGGTCACACAGAGGCCGGCCACCCTGACACCCATAAACAGGGCAGGACTGGACCCCCTTTCCAAGGAGCCAGTGGGCACAAACCTGTGAGCATTCATTTCTCAGACTGGCTTAAATTTCCCTGGAGTCAGGAATAGTGGATGGGACTTCTCTGTGTCAGGGCTAAAACCAGGGGCAAGAAAGAGGCGGCCACAGCCGTGCCCAAGAGCAGGCAGGCCGGAGACAATGTTAATAAAGACAGTAAAATCTGGCTTACTGAACCTCTTAGCTGCCTCGTGCTGGGCTAGGTGTGTTGCAAACCTTTTCTAATTTTTTTTTTTTTTTTTTTTGGCGGTACGCGGGCCTCTCACTGTTGTGGCCTCTCCCGTTGCGGAGCACAGGCTCCGGACGCGCAGGCTCAGCGGCCATGGCTCACAGGCCCAGCCGCTCTGCGGCATGTGGGATCTTCCCGGACCGGGGCACGAACCCGTGTCCCCTGCATCGGCAGGCGGACTCACAACCACTGCGCCACCAGGGAAGCCCAAACCTTTTCTAATTTCAACCTCACAATCATCCTAGGAAGGAGGCACCCTTACCCCTATTTTACAGATGGGGAGACAGAGGCCCAGGGAAGCTAATGAATCCAAGGTTGCATGGTGGATCTGGGATTCAGCTCCAGACCTGCGTGTCCTTAACCTGTATGCAGATGGGGCATCCTCCTGTGTCTGGGGTGAGGTGACAGTTGGAAGGAGGAAGGAGAAATACATTCGCATATAGATAAGAGTATAGACACAGCCGTTGCTGCATGTACCGATATCGATATCAATAGAGAGATATACAGAATTAGTATTTTCTGAAGACTTAGCGGTTTAGACCAGTGGTTTAGACCAGTGGTTCTCAAAGTGTGGTCCTGGCACCTGTAGCATCAGCATCATCTGGGAACTTGTGAGAAATGTAGATTCCTGGGCCCCACCCCAGATCTGCTGAATTAGGAGCTTTGGGGGTGGGACCCAGCAATCTGTATCTTCACAAGCCCTCCAGGCGATTCTGATGCTCATTCAAGTTTGTGAACCACTGGTTTAGACCACGGGCTTTGGCCTCAGATGGCTGTTATGACCCTAGACAAGTCATTTCCCCTCATGTAATGGGGATTATAACATCTCCCAGCTCACAGGCTGTAGCCAGGATTCTGTCGGAAAGTGCGCATGAAGCTGGGAGCTCACGCACTGTCAGGCACATGCCATGGTGGGGCAAGGCATCAGGTCCTGTCCGCGTGGCAAGCACCGGTGGACTTGACCCATCAGGGGACAGCTAGGCTGTAGGGACCAGTGACAAGCACGGTGACCTCTGAGCACTGGGGACAGTCAGAGGATTGATTGAGATGGGGGGGGTTGCTATTCCAGGGAGAGTCCCACCCAGGGATGCGCTGAACTTCTAGGGGTCAGAGCCTTCCTGGGGGCGCTGGGGTGGGTGAGGGTGGAATCCCTGGCCCTGCCCCTCTCTGGTCCCTCCTGGTAGCCTCAGCCTGCTGCTCAGTAAGTGGGATCCCGGGAGCTGTCTGCCCCATCCCTGGATTGACTGCCACCTCCCTGTGGGAGGAGCCCAGAAGCACAAAGCCCCTTGCTCCTTGGAGCCTACCGGGAGCACCCCACCTCCTTCAGCTGGGATTGTCAGGCCAGCTGTGCAAGCCGGGCTGGTCCCACGAGACCTCTTTGTGCCTCGGTTGGAAATAGCAGAGGAGGTTTAGGGCTATCTGGTTCTACCACCTCATTGTACGGATGAGGAAACCGAGGCCACAGAGGGACAGTAACCTGCTCAGGGGACTTTGGTGAATGGGGGAGGAGTGCGCCTCGTAGCAGAGGTGGCTTTGAGGACTCTGGTTCCTCACAGGCACCAGAGAGCAGAGCCTCAGCTGGACCTTCTACACTGCCTCCATCCGTGCAACATAGCTGGCCCAGGAGTCAAGACACCCGGGTTCCGGCCTCAACACTAAGCAGCCTGATCTCACAGGAAGGTTTTGTGATCCTTGCTGTGTGACTTCAAGCAAGTTGCTTGCTTTCTCTGTGCCTCTATATCTATGTCTGCAAAATAGGGATAATAGTGCTAGTACGTCCTCTTGGGTTGGCTGTGAGGACTAAATGGCATAGGTCTGGAAAGCACTTAACCTCGTGGCCTCCAGGGGCCTCCCCTGAGCCCTCTCCCTAAACTGACTGCCACCTCCCCTGTATCACTCTTGACCCCATTACCCTGCGTGATTTTCTTCCCATTATTTGTCACTATCCATAATCACCTCGCCCAACTACACATGTGTTTTATGTTTGTCTCACGCACTGGACACAAACTCCCAAGGACAAATATGTTTCCTATTGAAAGTATATGGCCATTTCCTGGCACGTAGTAGGTGCTCAATAAATATCTGATGAATAAACAATTGAGTACACATCCCTCATCAGACTGGGAGCTCCTTGATGGAGCAAACCGAGTTTCATCTGCACCGGCTTCCCTGGTGTGACCAGCCTAGGGCTGGGTACCAAGGACACTCCTTGTCCAAGTATTACCCGTTCCGTGGGCGGGTGACTGCAAGAGGGGAGGTTTTCCTGGCACTGCCACCTCCTGGCCATGGCCTGTCCCCCAGGAAGCCAGAACACACCGCGTGCCGCTGCTACAGGATTCAATGTCCCTCTGGAGGTCGGGCCTCTGGAGGTTTCCCATTTCCCAAGAAGCAGTGGTTTCCACGAGGCCTTTATGCTTTCATTGACTGCCTGAGTATGGCAAGCTTTGTTTCCCTGATAAATATCATTTGATAAGAAAATCAGGGAACACAGAGTCCGGAGTCAAGGCCAAGTACCTAGAATCCTGGCAGCAGAGCTGACCCAGAACCCAAGATTGTGCCCGGCAAGAACGTCAGCGCTGGAAGGGCCTTCTGAGACCACGTGGAGAAAGGCTTTGTTTTACAAGTGGGGAAACTGGGGCTGGGTAGGGGACACAGCCAGCCAGAGACAGGCACTAGTATTCTTATCCCCATTTTACAGATGTAGAAATGGAGGCACAGACACAGGGTGGGAACCCAGGAACCCTGACATCCAGTCCGGCACGCTTTCTAACTTGTCCCCTGATGCTTCAATATCCTGGAAAAGGCTTGGGAGGCACAGGGAGGGAACATTCTCTCTGCAGTAGGTATGCATCATCACTGAGATGCTGTCTCAATCCCCCTCCCCCACCCTGGAGGCTCCTGGATTGTCCTCCCCCCAAGGAGTGCCCACCCCCACTGCACTTTGCTACAGGTGCTTCCATGAACGTGGCTCCTGGCTTTCACCTGGGAAAGGTGCCCATGCAACTCAATATTTTCTCCCCGTGACCTCACCAGGTCGCAGAGCCTGAGGCTAGGAGATCCACGAGTGATCCACTAGGCCTGCATCCCACCCCCATCTTACAGAAGGGGAAACTGAGGCCCAGAGGCTGCGGCAGGCTGCCAGCCCTCGGGAAGTCTCAGTGCCCCTCATCCATTCCAATCAACATGTCGGAGCCCCTTCAAAGTGCCTGGTCCGTAAGGCTGCAGGGATGAGGTACAGCCCTGCCTCCCTCAGGTCCGGGTGTCAGTGCCGGTAGGAGAAGGGGTTCCTGAGAGGCCACATCAGTCACACCTCAGCATGGCTGGCCTCCTGCCCTCGAGGGCAAGGGTGGGAGAGAAGAGGGTCCAGTGCCAGCACAGCAGGTGGTTCCCAGGACAGCCCCTCTGTGTGCGTGGGTACGCACGCGCACACACACACACACACGTATGCACGCGCGCACACACACACACGTATGCACGCGCGCACACACACACACACGCACACACAGGCACACGTGCACGCACACAGTGACGCCAGTGCCAAGAGCCCTGCACTCACCCATGACGTTGAGGAAGATGTTGCCTGATGCCAGGACCACCTTCTCCCTCGTAGCGCGGTCGTAGATGCCCACGTGGCACTCGTAAGGACCGTTGTCAGAGATGCGGACCTCGGGCAGCCTGCGGGGAAGCAGAGGTGCAGGATGAGGGTCCCTTGCCTGGGGCGGGCAGCCACAGCGCTGCAGTAAAGCAGACCCAAAGCCCCACCACCCAGCCTTCTGTCAGCAGCGCTCCTGGACCCACCATGCAATGCCCACGTGCTGTGCTGGGTGCAGAAGAAACATTTATGGAACACCGACTGTATGCCAGGCCCTGTGCCCGATGCTTCAGAGGATGAAGCTGTGGGCTGTGTGTTCAACTAGAGTTGAATCTGTGCTCCTTTCAGCTGCTGAGCCAGGGATGGTGATGTGCCCGCTCCCAGGGGCCCCCCCTGAGGATGACATGGACTGAGGCGCCTGTCATGTGGTTCAGGCTCAAAACTGTCACCTAGTCCACCAGCTCACTCATTCCTCACAGCTGCCCCCCCCAACAGGAATCGCTCTTCCCATTTCATAAACATGGAAACTGAGACTCCAGAGGGGATGTAATTGCCCCCCCCCACACATGGCTATTAAGAGCCAGGATGGGAATCTGAATTCCTCTCTCCACACGGCCATGCTATCACTTTATGCATGGCCCTGGAGACTTGAGAAGAAACACAGTAAAATTCTTGTCTCCATGGACCGCCCCCCATCCCAATGGATAAGGAGGCAGGGAAGCTGATCAATGCCCCAAATCCCATGGGACTCTGGAGAACAGGATGGAGGTTCCTTAAAAAATTAAAAATAGAGTTGCCATAGGATCCAGCAAACACAGCCCTGGGCATATATCCGGAGAAAAATATAATTCAAAAAGATACATGCACCCCAATGTTCATAACAGCACTATTCATAATAGCCAAGACATGGAAGCAGCCTAAATGTCCATCAACAGACGAATGGATAAAGAAGATGTGGTACATATATACAATGGAATATTACTCAGCCATAAAAAGAAACGAAACTGAGTTATTTGTAGTGAGGTGGATGGACCTAGAGTCTGTCATACAGAGTGAAGTAAGTCAGAAAGAGAAAAACAAATACCGTATACTAACACATATATATGGAATCTAAAAAACACGAAAAAAATGGTCATGAAGAACCTAGGGGCGAAGTGGGAATAAAGACGCAGACCTACTAGAGAATGGACTTGAGGATACGGGGAGGGGGAAGGGTAAGCTGGGACAAAGTGAGAGAGTGGCATGGACATATATACACTACCAAACGTAAAATAGATAGCTAGTGGGAAGCAGCCGCATAGCACAGGGAGATCAGCTCGGTGTTTCATGACCACCTAGAGGGATGGGATAGGGAGGGTGGGAGGGAGGGAGACGCAAGAGGGAGGAGATATGGGGATATATGTATATGTATAGCTGATTCACTTTGTTATAAAGCAGAAACTAACACACCATTGTAAAGCAATTATACTCCAATAAAGATGTTAAAAAGAAAAAAGAAAATGTGGTGTGTGTACACACACACACACACACACACACACACACACACACACACACTGGAATATTACTCAGCCATAAAAAAGAAACAATGCCATTTGCAGCAATATGGATAGATCTAGAGATTATCACACTAAGTGAAGTAAGACAAAGTCAAATATCATATGGTATTGCTTACATGTGGAATCTAAAAAATGATATACAGGGCTTCCCTGGTGGCGCAGCGGTTGAGAGTCCGCCTGTCGATGCAGGGGACGCGGGTTCATGCCCCGGTCCGGGAAGATCCCACATGCCGCGGAGCGGCTGGGCCCGTGACCCATGGCCGCTGAGCCTGTGCGTCTGGAGCCTGTGCTCCGCAACGGGAGAGGCCACAGCAGTGAGAGGCCCGCGTACCACAAATAAAAAACAAACAAACAAACAAAAAACACAAATGAACTTATTTACAAGGCAGAAATAGACTCACACAGAAAACAAATTTATGGTTACCCAAGAGGAAAGGTGGGAGGAGCGATAAATTAGGAGTTTGGGATTAACATCTATACACTTCTATATATAAAATAGATTACCAACAAGGACCTACTGTATAGCACAGGGAACTATATTCAATATCTTGTAATAACCTATAATGGAAAAGAATCTGAAAAAGAGTATCTATCTATCTATCTATCTAAAACTGAATCACTTTGCTGTACACCTGAAACTAACACAACATTGTAAATCAACTCTATCTCATTAAAAGAAAAACCCAAATCCCATGGGAAAGGGTGAGCTTATCCATGCGTATAGTGAGCGGGGAGAAGCTGATTCTGCCCGAGGTGTCAAGAGGCCTTCTCAGAGGAGGCGACCCGTGAGGGCAGGAGATGCTCCCTCAAACCTTCTTCCAGACATGTCCTCTAAAGGGTAAAATATTGGGACTTCCCTGGCAGTCCAGTGGTTAAGACTTCACCTTCCAATGCAAGGAGTGTGGGTTCAACCCCTGGTCGGGGAGCTAAGATCCCACATGCCTCGCAGCCAAAAAACCAAAAAAAAAAACAAACAAAAAAAAACGGAAGCAATATTGTATTAAATTCAATAAAGACTTTAAAAATTGTCCACATAAAAAAATCTTAAATAAAAAAGTAAAAATAAAGAGTAAATATTTTAGGCTTTGTTGTTTTTACAGTCTCTGTCACAACTATTCAACTCTGCTCTTGTAGAGCAAAAGCAGCCACCCTTAGTAAGTGAACCAGCGTGGCTGTGTTCCAATAAAACTTTATCTATAATCATCAAATCTTGTATTCATACAATTTCATGTGCCATGAAATCTTATTCTCTTTTTCCAGTCTTTTCTAACCATTTAAAAATGTAAAAAAATTCTTGGTTTACAGGCTGCAGGCTGTAGTTTGACGATTTCTGTTCTAGATCCTTCTACAGGGTCTACAGGGTCAGACCACGATAAAATGAGTTGGTTTGGGGCTTCCCTGGTGGCACAGTGGTTGAGAGTCCACCTGCCGATGCAGGGGACACGGGTTCGTGCCCCGGTCTGGGAAGATCCCACATGCAGCAGAGCGGCTGGGCCTGTGAGCCATGGCCGCTGAGCCTGCGCGTCCGGAGCCTGTGCTCCGCAACGGGAGAGGCCACAACAGTGAGAGGCCCGCGTACCGCAAAAAAAAAAAAAAAAATGAGTTGGTCGGTTGTTCTCTCTCCCCATGGAAATGTCACTGGGGCAGCTCTTTCCTCACTCCTCTCTGACACTGGGTTAGAGAGAGCCAAGTTCAAATCCTGCCCCCACTGTTGGTACGCTGTGTGACCTTGTGTAAGCCATGCTGTCTCTGAGCCTCCATTTCTTATCTAGAATATGGAGCTGATGCTTTGCAGGACTGCAGTGAGGATTAAATGTGATGATGTTACTGCAAGACCCCTGTGAGCAGGAATGTCACATTAAAATGGTCGCAGGACCATTACCTGTTGCTCCTGGATTCTGTGATGCCCTGTGAGGGAGAGGGGATTCCTGGTAAGTGAGACCTGGACACTTTGAAGGGGAAGAACCTTGACCTGGAGTTCAGAAGCTATGTTGTTGCTGCATCAGGGAAATCTGTGTGTCCTCCAGCAAGTTCCAGCCTTCTCTGGGCCTCATCATGCAGCCGAAGGGGAGCCTTTTCTGGTCACAACTTAAAGAAAGTGGGGTCTCTGTGTCTGGGTCTTGGAGGTTCTCACGCCACAGCAGAAACCCCGGGGGAAGAAGCTCATGTTCATGGAACCCTAGTAAATGCCAAGCATAGTGCTCTACCCACCAAACTAGCCCAGCAGTCCTATCAGAACCCCGGTGGAGGACGAGGGCGTTGGCTAAGAGCACAGGCTCTGGAGGCCTGGACGCCTGCACCAGCCCTGCCGCCAAGAAGGGGTGTTCCTTCAATTCTGCTCTTCGCGTCCACCCCCATAGCTAACACATTTTCCTCTCCATCAGCTAAGCCTCTCTCTCCATCTGTTTCTACTGAGCAATCTAACCTCAGAGTCACTCCTCTCTCCTTTCATTTCAGCTGTCCCCACCCCCATCTTTGTCTTCCAGCTACTTTTTCCTATGACTCACTGTCCCCCACCTCCCCCACCCTCCGTGCCCACACACACACACCTGGGCGCCCAGCTTCTCTCTCTCCATCTCCGGTCTCATGGAGGAAGCCCGCCCATCTAACAGAGCCTCCTTCCCTCCCATCGCCCAGCTCATATTAGCATAAACAAACACCTTCATTTCCATAGAATACACAGAGGCTGACATCTGGTCTACCGACTGTCACAAAAGGACTTAAAGAACGGGAAGCTTTTCATCAAGGAAACTTTGTGGGGAAGATGCTGCCTCCCATCTCAGAAGAAAAGAACACCGTGACAGCGGAAGCAGCAGGGAACTGTCTCCCCTCTGGGAACTATCTTCTCTGTTTGTAACTCAGCTAGACTGAAAAAAAATAACCTCCCTACTGGGCAGGGCTGCTGAATGACAGTCATCTAGAGTGACATGTTTAGGTGACACTCATAGGTGCCTGTTATAGAGGCAACTTTCTTAAAGGCCTTGCGTAGGTGACAGGTGTACAGGTGACATGCTCAGGTGACAGCTCTGTAAAGAAACAGGTTCCAGGGACACATGGAGCTGGCAGCTACAGATAATAACGACACGGTTGACACACAGGTGGAAATGCACAGGTAAGCGCCACATAGGGTGATATATGCAGAAGATGTATTTCTGTGCTAGGGACACAGGTGATGTGTTTAGGCAATCACTACACTCGTGTTCTGGTGACAGTAACACCAGCAATATGTTTGGGTGACACAACACGGGTGGTATAGAAGACAGCTCAGGGGACATCTAGATTGGTGCTTTATGAAGGAGGCGGTTTTTTGCTTAGGACTATTTCTACAGCCTCGGATGTTTCTTCCTCCACGAATGGTCCTGCTCTCCGCCAGAGGTCCAAGCCACACTTTGGGCACCATCCTTGATGTTTCCCATTTCTATAATCAACACAGTCAATGACCAAGTCCTGGATGTTCTGCATCTTAAATATGTCCTGAACCATCCTCTCCCCTGTATCTCCACTGTCAACATCTTTTCTCACCTGGA